AGCCAGTTAGTGACCCATCTGACTGTGTAGGCATCAACACCACAATCTCCTAGTTTTTTTATGAGAATGGGAAGAGAAACCATGCTGAAGGCCTTCCTAAAGTCTAGAAAGACTATGTCCACTGTGACACCTGCATCTAAGGATTTGGTGACCTGGTCATAAAAGGTCACCAGGTTGGTCTGACAAGACCTGCCCCTAATGAACCCATGTTGGTTGCCCCTGAGTATAGTCTCCCTTGCTGGCCCCTCCTGGACATGCGCCAGGATAATTCTCTCAAAAAGCTTCCCCAGGACCGAGGTAAGACTCACGGGCCTATAGTTACCTGGGTCCTCCTTCCTTCCTTTTTTGAAGATGGGAGGAAGTCACTAAGCACTAAAGGAGTTAATCCTAGTCTAGACAAGGTTGTTAAGAGATTAGATTGCATTCAAATCTCTAGTCAAGACAAAGCAATTCCATTTTGAAATGGACTAAACTGGTTGAGCAAAGCTAGACTTTCCTCTTGGTGCATGCCTCCTCTAGACTTTTCTGGAGTCAATTAACACATTTGCAGAAATGACCCGATGCATTCCCCCAAACATCTGCACTGGGCTACAAACATCTGTACTTTATCTAAAGCCTGGTATTTACTTTACACTAATATAACCTTAGTCACAGGATCCATGTCTGCACAGTGGCAAGCTATGTACTTACAGAGCTACATGAAGATAAACCCACAGGATTTTACATCAAAAGAGCTACCTTGACTTAAATATGTACATTTTTGTGGTCATGATGTAGCCAAAGAGATCTGTTATTATTCTTACTGCAACATTGTCAAGAACAGCTCATTTATTACAGTAACCGCAGGTTCACAGATTCCGCCCCCACCCTTTTCAGAAACAATCAGAACCCTTCCTAATAATCAGATTAACTGAGGAGGACTTCATCCTCCAGCATGCCTACACTGCTTCCAGCAGTCCCAATACCAGCCCTGAACTGACCTGTCACTGGATTATGTTGCTTTGCCAGCACAGAAAGAATTATAAGTCTGCTTCCAATAAGAGAGACCATTTGTAAAAATCCAATTATAGGATTAAGAGGAAAACAGTTTAACAGCTGAACAAAAGAGGGGGGAGAAAAGGTAGCTGGGCAGGCATTCATACAAGGAGTTCATTCAAGCGAGAAGATAGTGTCATAGTTTCATAGATTTAGGGTCGGAAGGGACCTAGTAGATCTTCTAGCCCGACCCCCTGCCAGGGCGGGAGAACAACAAAACCCCAAAACAAAAAAACGGGACTCAAATGAGTCCAGCCAGGTAGGCATCCAGCCTCTTCTTAAAGACCCCCAGGGTAGGGGCCAGCACCACTTCCCTTGGAAGTTGGTTCCAGCTCCTAGCCGCCCTAACTGTGAAGTAGTTTTTGCGGATGTCCAATCTATACCTCCTCTCCATCAACTTGTGCCCATTACTCCTTGTTATGCCAGCGGGCGCTAGGGGAAACAGCGTCTCCCCCAAACCCTTCTGGTCCCCCCTAGTGAGTCTATAGACGGTCACCAGGTCCCCCCTCAGCCTTCTCTTGTGGAGGCTGAATAGGTTCAGGTCCCGCAGTCTCTCACTGTAGGGTCTGCCCTGTTGTCCCCGGATCATGCGGGTGGCCCTCCTCTGGACCCTCTCCATGTTGTCCACATCCCTCTTGAAATGGGGCGCACAGAACTGGACACAATACTCCAGCTGTGGCCTGACCAGCGTCGCGTAGAGGGGGAGGATCACCTCCTTGGCTCTACTCGAGATGCACCTGTGGATGCACGACAAGGTCCGGTTAGCCCTGCCAACCATGACCTCGCATTGTCGGCCCATGTTCATCTTGGAGTCAATAATGACTCCAAGATCCCTTTCTGCCTCCGTGCTCTCGAGTAAGGAGTTCCCCATTGTGTAAGTGTGCTGCTGGTTCCTACTGCCCAAGTGCAGCACCCTGCACTTGTCCGTGTTAAAACGCATCCTGTTCCTGTTAGCCCACCCCTGTAACCTATCCAGATCCCTCTGCAATCTCTCACTCCCTGCTAGCGTGCTCACCTCCCCCCAAATTTTGGTGTCATCAGCGAATTTAAACAGGTTACTTTCCACCCCATCATCCAGATCGCTGATGAAGAAATTGAACAGCGCAGGCCCCAGGACCGAGCCCTGGGGGACTCCGCTACCCACCTCCCCCCAGGTCGAATATGACCCATCCACCACCACCCTCTGAGTGCGACCCCTCAGCCAATCTGCAATCCATCTGACTGTGTAGGCATCGATGCCACAGTCACCTAGTTTTTTAACTAGGATGGGGTGAGAGACGGTGTCAAAGGCCTTGCTGAAGTCCAGAAAGACTACATCCACCGCGACACCTGCATCCATGGCCTTTGTGACCTGATCGTAGAAGGCAATCAGGTTGGTCTGACATGATCTCCCCCTAATAAATCCATGCTGATTGCCCCTGAGCATCATTTCTGATGCCGGCCCATCACAAATGTGCTCCTTGATGATCTTCTCAAAGAGTTTCCCCAGGATTGAGGTAAGACTGACGGGCCTATAGTTGCCCGGGTCCTCCCTCTTCCCCTTCTTGAAGATGGGGACCACATTTGCTACCTTCCAATCATCTGGCACCTGGCCCAAGCACCACGATCGCTCATAGAGCCGTGCCAGGGGCCCTGCAATAACCCCAGCCAGCTCCCTCAACACCCTGGGGTGGACAGCATCCGGACCCGCTGACTTGAACGCGTCCAGCCCCTCCACAAGCTCTCTAACCCGGTCCTCCCCAACCTGAGGTCTGAAGGCGATCCCCTCGAGTCCGGCTTCTATCATGTGTATCAGTATTTGGGTTATAGTGGTACCTGGGGGCTACAGTCTGGAACTAAGGCCCATCTCTGCTACATACTCTGTCAGACACATGTGTGCGCACTCATGCACGTATGGAGAAGTTGGTTCCTTCCTCACAACACCAAATAGCTTATACCAGTTTGCTAGTCTCAACTTCTTTCAACACTTCTATTGTGCAGGGCAGAGACTGTCCTTAACCATCTCAGAGGCTAGGCTTCAGGTGCAAGAATCACCCTGAAATCCCAATCCACCATGTAACATGACTGTGTTAGGGACCTAAGTGGTGGACAGACAATATACGAATATGCATGTATGTGAAGGAAAGGGACTGTGACAACATGCTGTAGCAAGCCGATTTCTTGAAAATCTAGTCACTTACTTACATGCCTAAACAAAAAGCATTGGGTTCCGACAGCTTCTGAGTTCTTCAATTCACCCATGACAACCTCCAAAATCTATCCATTCACCATCTGTTTTTACACTAAGGTCTCTCTTTATGTGAATTCGTTTTGTGCAAATTCACTTATGTGTGACAACATTATTTATACCAGAAATTTGCTTAGTGCAAGAAAAATCTGATCTTATGTGAAGTCGGCCAGCAATGAGCTCCCTGCAGGCTGTCACAATTCCAGAAAGCTGGGCAGGGCTGGGGCTGCTGTCCAGCCAGGGAGTGTTTGGGGCCCAGGGCCGCAGCATGCAGCTGTAAGGCCCCAGCAGGGAGCAGGAGGGAGCCTCAGGTAGCTCATTGGGGAAGTAGGAGGGCCAGCTCCCCACTGCCACGCACACTTCCAAGCAGCAGCAGAGACGAGACCTGCGCCCCCCAGATCTGTACGCAGGGCAGGTACAGTCTGCAAGCTCCAGTGCTGCTTTGAGGGGCGCAACCGTGCACCACTGCCCTCACTGCAGCTCGGCGTGGAGGAGGTGCACTGCCAGGGCAGCATGGAGCTTGCAGTGGCACAAAGATCCCTGCATGGCCCTGCTGCTCCAGGTCATGCCTGCCGGGATGCAAAGGCTCGGAAGCAGGGAACAGTGGGGCTGTGCAGAGAAGGTGCTTGCCCCACGCTGCCTTGGCGATGCATCCACTACATAAGCCACTGTTTGCAGCGTGGTCCTTGTAGCCTATCTGCACAGCCCCACTGTACCCAGCTGTGCCAGGTTGTGCCTGCTGGGCTGGAGAGGCACCCAGGGAAGAGAAGCAGGGTGGAGCCAAGAGCAGCAAGCAGCTGGTGTTCCCTGCCACCCTGTTTCATTCCTCCAGGTGCTTCTCCAGCTCGCCCAGCACTGCCATGGTGATGCCCCCCTAAGTGTGCCACTGCTTGCAGTGCAGAGCTTGCAGCCTCTCCACGCAGCAGTTATTGCATTGTGTGATTAGTGTTTGAATTTATCATGGTTTCACGGAGCAGTAGAGTAAGGCTGGTACGTATCCCTATTAATTACATGTAATAATGGATTCGCTTTACGCTAATTCACTTTATGTGAGGTTTTTTTGGAACGCAACGCTTGCATAAAGGGAGACCCGAGTGCATCTAAATAGCCAAACCTGTGTCTACTGTCCAGGGCTTCACCCAAAGTACATTTCAATTGCCTAGTGTGCAGAGTACAAGACAACTTACCGATTGTCCCTCTGCACTGTAATTTTGTCTCCTTCAGGTATTAATTTCTTCTGCTCTGTCACGCCGTAGCTTTCCCTGCAAATCTAGGTAAAAACCAAAAAGTTCATTTCACCATTCTGCATCTCACTACACAAGCGAGAAGAATGGGTGCAGGGCTCCTTTACAGCTGGACGTTAGTACATGAAGAACCTGGGAAGAGAGGCTGTAAAAATGGACATAGTGAGCTCCAAAAAAAGATACACACTGTGGTACTGTCCCATGTTCTATCTCTTTTCATAGTCTGGGTTCACTAGATCATGATTTGCTATCACGCCCAAATGCAAACTTGGAAGAGACTACTCTTTTAAGTCAACTCTCTCTCAAAAATTGAGAGATGGATGCTAAAAGTTTCACTTAACCAATGCTACACACCTTGGCAAGCAAAGCGGTCCTCTTTTAATAACTGAAATACAGGATACACATTTAATTTACTCTCACAGTAAACAAAAGACCATTTACTAAAGGTTATTTTCAGTTTTTGCCTCCATCTGTGATAGGGCCTGAATGCCATTAACACACAGGTACACTCTGGATAGCTAACATTGTACGTGTCTTGCAAATAAAATATTACGGCCCAGCTTTTTATCTGGCCAACAAATAAATCAAGACTTGTCCCCAGAAAGTCCCTATGGACATTATTATAAAACAACCTTTAGATTTAAGCATAGCAGTAAAAATGGTCTTTTGCCTGAAACAGCGCAAAGAGACCTTGTAGGGAAATTACAAGGTTATATTAAAGGTGCCTTTTAGAGATGGTATTAATGCTGGGGCCTCATGACTTCAGCATTTAATCGTAAAGAGACCTGCACATGGCTGACTCAGACCCAGTACCATTCGTCTCCAGAGCTAAGACACACAAGCCAACTTTAAGAGTTCTCCTTTATCAAGCTAGAAGAAGTATAGCCTTCTCATAACTCAGTGAGGTAGGAGAGGTTTCTTTACAACCCCCAGCACAGCATGCTGTTACTGTAGCTGTTTCCTTGGGTTGATTCTAATCAGACACCCTCATAAAGCTTTTATCCCTTCATTCCACTCAACAGAAATGTTTAAGATGGACCAGTTCAGATATTCCTTTGCAAAAACAGCAATCACCTGCCTATAAAGTTACAGCTAACCCAGACCATCATGCTCCAGGTCAGCATGACCCAGCTTGAGACCTGTGAGGGTGTTAGCTTTGGGAGGCAAGAAAGGTGCCTTTTGAACTCTGAGTTCTGACTGGGGGAGCAGACAGAGAAAACAGTTGCCTAGAAAACTTGTGTTACTGTATTAGTTTGTGATGCTCTATACATATTTTACCTGAGAAAAAGATAGATAGACATGATTTAATTTATACTAAGATTAAATGTTTTTCTTCTGCCATTTTTAATTCTCTTGGATTTGCATCCCTTTAGAGAAATTACCTGAAAGAAAATCCTTTGGCATCTCAGTGTTTCATGAAAAAATATCTATTAAACCATGTGCCTTAGTGACGTCCTTTCCAATAAGGAACTTGGAAGCCAATATCTCACTGACTTCCAGTGAGATGTCAGCTATTTGCTGAAGTAGGAGTTTAAAACTTTACTTGCTTTAATCTACTTAGTTTCAGTGACCACACAGACAAGGACAGCAAACCTCCACAGACTAATTTTAGCATTTCCAAAACAAACAACATAAATTTTATGGATATATCTGGGGGAAAAAACCCACAACATCCATCAATGTTTATATGATCTCTACCTCTACACACACCACAAATCACACCACTGATGTATTTGATTTGCCTTACTGTAAAATTCAAGCAGAACATTTCTTCTACATCTTCTCCAGGATAATCTAAAACTTGCTGAAGACTCCTACAAAAAAGATGGGAGGAAGAGGGGTGGGGAAATCAATCATTCAAGAGTCTGTGCAAAGTCTGTGCTTAATGTTTAAAAAACGGGTGGAAATGATTTCATAGACATTAAGGCTGGAAGGGACCTCGTAAGATCATCAGGTTCACCCCCCTGCCCAAATTAGCTAAAGTAAATAATATCCTAACTCCAGGTAACAGAATTCCAAGATAAACAATACATTGTATAAAAAATGAAGACAACGTGCACTCCTATACAGAGAAGTGCTTTGTTAGCAGTAACATAAATGCCACACTATACATTTTCAACATAGTCTATGTCTTATTAGTATAAGGATCTTCTCCAATGGTCCAGTGCTTAGAAAACCATTTGATTTCTAGCACTAAAAGAAAAAAAGTCACAAGAAATGCACAAGAACTGCAGAAAGGGAGATCTAAGTGAGGCAGAGAGGGAGACTCACTTATATGTCCATTATTTTTAAATATCCTGTTGATGTCCCCCAGAACTTTGTTATAGGAATCCTGCATCTTCATGATGTCTTGCCTCAATTTTTGCTGTAGGCTAAAATCATATAGCAGGATCAGAATGACTTAATATGACTTTGCTCTCACAACCTGTCAGAGCTGGGGGAGTAGGGGGGTGGGGAGAGACGGGGGTCAGCAGCCATGAAGTACTAAATCTTCAATTTCTTGTGCTCAAGGGAAACTATTCCTTCTCCATATTTAACTGTCTTTAAAACATGATATCTTTGTAGTTGCATTGATTGTGGTGCCAGGTGCCCAGCAGGTGAGGGGGATCACTAAGATGAAGTTTAGAGACTTAATGCATAAATCACTGTGAGAGGGGAAGCAGAGGCACAGTGGCTAGACTTGCCCAAGGTCAGAGTAGGTCAGTGGCAGCACTGGGAATGGGACCTAGGCCTCCCAGAGTTGCAGCCAACAGCCTTCCCCTTCCCCCATGGCTGTGTGGCTATCATCATAGCTTGAGGACAAGAAGCCTGGTCCTTCCTCCCCCAGGATTCTACTGGCCTCTGGTCCCAAAAGGAAAAAAAAAAATTCAGCATGTGAGTGTCTTCCTAATTTCAGTGGTCCTCCTCACTTAGCATTAAGCACATGCTTAAGCACTTCCCTAGACCAGGGCTCCTACATTAACTACTTGGTTGAAAAGACATTTAGCAAATCATTTATGTAACAAGCACTAACCAGTCTAATGCTCACTGTTCTCAGATGAGCAGCCTCCCTGCCCAATTCCCACAAGAAATTGGTTAATAACTACTGAAACACAGCCCAGCTGTTCCTTCAGCTTTGTACCTTCCTTCTGTAGGGGACAACTCTTTTAAATCTTCTAAGCAAGGTGTCACGTTCAACAGCTTCTTGTATAGAGCCAACGGAAAATGGAGGTCGACCACAGTGAAGTTGTATATGGCAAGTCCACATATTATGCCAATCAGGTGAAACCAATTGTGTTCTACAAAACACTTCAAATATACAAGGGGACAACAGTTAAAAAAAAAAAAAAGCAAGGTTATCCTGCTTAATTAAACAAGAATTTTCCCTGTCAAATATTTAGGTGCAGCAGCACACCTTCGGGACAGGCTTTCAAGAGTGCAAACCCCAACAGCTCCCATGGAGAGGCACAGCACTGTAGAAAACCTACCCATTACATTTAATTGCCTATGTAGAAGACCTCATTTTGGAAATGTGCCCTTTGATTGTGAGCTTGTGAGAGCAGGGTACATCCTCTTTGACTGCTTGGATAACACCTCACACATTGTAAGTCAGATCATAAATCATCACAAGAAGTTTTCTTAATATTGATTAATGATATCACTTTTCCGGACAAAAGGGTTTTAATAAACTGTATGCTAAAAAGGACAGATATAAAATAGCATGTTTAGGCTCCAATTCTGCAGTGAACTCTTGCAGGGAGAAATCTGAGTTCATCTGGCGTATACTGCAAGATAGGGATTTATAATCCAAATCACCCACCCTTTCTTAACATCACCCCCTTATATCAGGGCTCAGCATCGTATGACCAGAGGCCAGATCTGGCCTACATTTTACTAAAGACACTCCAATCCTTGTCACAGCCTAGCCCAATGGTTCTCAACCTTTTTTTAGACTCAAGGCACACCTCATTCAGTTTGGGCACTCCTTGGAAAATGCAGCTCTTACTTTTCATTCATTTTTGAGTGTAGGAAAATACTAGAGCAATCCATCTGCTGCAAGAACTCAGAAAGACCACATCAAGTCAGAATGTTTTTAATACTATGAATTCCTATTTGAAATCTCTGGGTTTATCTTGTGAATCATGTTTATACACCTAACAGTGCTAACATTGCCTGCCACTCCAGGGCACCTCTGACAGGATCTTAAGGCTCCCTAGGGTCCCACAGCACACACTGACTGAGAATCCCTGGCCTAACTGTTGGAGTTGGATGGCCAGTTAAACCCCTGCTGCTAGCTCTGCTCCTGAAGAGGGCTTCTTCCAGGAATTTGGTGCAGTTGATAATTGAGTTTCCCATCCAAATACTGCAAGAAAAATGTTTAAATTTAACACACAAATAACTATTTTTATTTAAATGTCTGTGTATAATCAGTGTTCCTGAGGCAAACAGTAAATAAATTATTACTACATTTCACCTCATTTTTCATGGGTGTTTACTCCTGAGATATGTTTATCAGTTACAACAGAGTTGCAAATTTGTTAAACTTTGTAAACCAGCAAACAAGATATTCTCACAATGTTTGTGACACTTATTCTTATCACCATGTGATGTTATTTTCACAAACTTAATCTAAGTACCAACTGCTGATAATCTTACTTGCAAATTATATAATGTAACATGCTATTTCCTTGCTTGTAAAATTCAATTGTCTAAATTTTAAAATATTTGACTGAAGCAAAACAAAGCAAAAATCATATCAAGTCTACAAGTTCAGCTTAAGCTACCTGACAATCCAATTTTCAGTGCTGCTACCCTTTGGTTCATTTCACACTAATCCATCTCCATCTCCTCTTGTGTGATCCAACCTGATAAACAGATGCTCAGTCCACACCGTACAAAAGGTTTGTTTGCCAGAGGAAGCAAGTCAGAATAACTCTGCTATTTTTTTTGTTGCATCAGGGCTCCCTGACATCAGACATTAAAAGTTCAATGCATGAATGGGATGTTGATGCATGAATGAGAGGACTGACTGCAATTATGTGACCAGAAAGGGAAAGCACAGAATTTCAAGGTCATTATGACCCAAATCTTGGCGACTGGAAAACAGCCTATGATTATTGGTGTTTATAGTAAAGAGAGACTTGTTAACATAACTATTATAAACTGTCATCTAACAAGACACACTATTGGATTATGAACTAAACAGACAGTTAGGGCCAGATCCTTAAAGTTTAGGTAGCATGGCTCTATTGAAATTAACAGACCTAAGCTAATTTACAACACATGAAGGTCTGGCCCATATAGGACTGAGGGAGGAAAATGGGAACAGGTTTAATTTCAACACCGTCATTACTTAAATCCAGCATGTGCAGTACAGGCAGGTCAGCAACTCACCTTATCTGAAAACCAGAGCAGGTTGGATTCTGTATAGTAAGTGAACATCCCATAGATGGGATTTAGGAGCTCTTTTAACAACAAAAGGAAAAATTCCTTTGTAACCCCTCCAGCATCAACAGCCTCCTCGCCATCAAAGATCACCTGTGGGACAAAGAGGCAACTAATTAGGGTATGGGACCATCCTGTAGATAAGAGGCATCAGATTTAATCACAGGTCATGCAAAGTAATTACTGTGACACACAAAACCAGCACTCGCAATGAGACTGTTTCCATGCAGGCAAGGGAATCAGAAGGCGCTGATATGACATTCTTTATATACAGATGACTCTGCATTTCAGATGGCAGGAGTAGACTCATAAATAATCAGTTGCTCTCTCGATAACTTTACAACTTCCCTTGTCCCAAGCAGTGGACAGTTCTCCCAGTGATGAGTGTTACACAGATCAGATTTCAGCAGCTGTTGAATTCTGTAGCTTCTTCTCAGAGAAAAAAAACAAACTATTTTAGATGACCCAAGAGTAGTGTAATTAGAAGTTGGGGGGTGAAGAGGAGGGGGAGGATGACCAGGGCAGCAGCCTTGAGTACTGACTTTGGAGTGGATGCAAAAATAGCTGCTGCCTGAAGCACAGAACTGCCCTGTCAGGTCTCTGTGGCTCAATGTAGGTCTTCCTGCAAAATGGCCAGGGAACACAAGATAAAAAAAAAGGGAGGGAAAAAGGAAAATTCTCATTTTGGACTTTTGCTTTTGTCTCCTTATTCACCCACATCAATTAAATTGTCTTCCTTAGAAGAAACCAGCCCCCACACCTGGCTGCCCTTAGCCACCACATATCAAGCCAAGCACCCAATAAAGTCAGCTGATCAGGTTGGAGAGACTAATCACCACACCAACTGGGTAAAGCTTCATTACTAGTTACAGCTGTGCAGTTAATATACATGAATTTGACTACTGTGAGGTGGGGGGGTGACCTCTGCAAGAGGATTAAAGAAAAGAGATAATTAAGGGGAAAAAGAACAAACAAGAACAGAAGGCTCTTACTTTAAGAGGCTTTTTCAAATCAATATCTGAATGAATGCTCAGCTCCCTCAAAGCATCGCCAACCAAGTTGCTCCTGCGGACATGAAGAACTAGGAAAGGGCTTCTGGCCAGCAGAGGCTCCAGAGTGAGAAGCATGAAGACATTTTGCAAGTTTGCACCATTGATTGCCACCTATGAGGCAGTACAAAGAAAAGGAGAGAGGTGCTGTGGGTTAAAAAACACGACAAAATAGAACCCTTCTACTGTCTGTCTCTGTAGTAGAAACAGCTGTTTCCCCAGCCCCCAGGGTTGTGACCACACACTGAGGTTGTGGCCTGCCTTTCTTCTTGTGTTTGCCACAGCATCTCAGTAACAACCTTTATAAAGTTTCTGTCTCTCAGCACAAAAAAAACTCCCCTGTTTAATGCCACAACACTGCATTCACAGCAAACACACTCCTCACAGCAGTACAGAACTCACAAATAGCTGCCTTCAAGAAGATTCAAGTACTCACTGTACAGGAAGGTTACAGCATGAGCTGTTCCCATGCTACCTGAACAGTGTGTCTGACTTGCAGGGACAAGGTGATCCCTGGTTAAGCTCAAGAGTTTAATGTTGCACAGAGACTGGAATCAGTTATTGCCAGCCACTTGTGGTGGGTTTTCATTCTGAATGAATCTACAAACCAGCTAGTAGACTAACACTTCTCACATAGGCTGCCTACCAGCTGTGATGCTGCCTTCTGGACACCAGCAATGTAAGCTACATTTAATCAGCAAATAATTACAACTGCCTCTCTGCTCCTCAATGGAAGTTACATACAGGCATGTGCAGTTTTTACACACATCAACACCAGGCCAAAGCTCTTTGCAATGTGCTAAAAACTGTGGCATTACTACCACCTACAGGAAAAAAGTTAGATCAGTTCTACCTGACTACACTCTAGTAGAGTTTACTGCTCTATTTATTGCCTGTGCTGCACACATGCAATTTAGAGAATGATTCTAATGTTGACTTAGGCCAAGTATCGGCTATACAATACTTAGTATCTCCAGTGACAGAAGCTATTATGCTTTGGAGAATCTGTCAGGAGTTCCAGGCAGAAATAAATACACAACACATTTAATAAAGACAAACCTCAGAAATCCTATATTATCTCAATGCATTGCAAAGTGATAATGACCATTCTGATTATCACAAATTTTTCAGCATAAACTCATTCTATTTAAATAGAAAATGGTTTCACTATAAGGGACCCAAGTGTTGCCTCAGCTGAATCCAATAGCAAGAGGCCCTCCAATACATAACTACATAAGCCAGGTGTTCTCAAACTGTGGGTTTTGAACCCCCTGCAACTTAAAAGGGGGTTGCAAATTCTCTTCCCTTCCTAGAAGTGGTGGTGCTGCAGGCGGGGCTGCCACTGCCATCGAACACTCCACAGCACCGCCATGCACTGCACACCACTTCCCCACACCCAAGTCTGGATGGTCGACGAGCAGGGGGCAGGAGGGTCCCAGCGGTCGGCTGGCTGGACTTGGGCATGGGGAAGTGGTGCGCAGCGCATGGCGGCAGCACCAAGTGCTCAATGACAGCAGCGGCCCTGCCCCCCATGCCATTGCTTCAAGGGAGGGAAGAGAAGTTTGCAACCCCCTTGTCATGGTATCAAAAAGTTTAAGAACCCCTAACATAAGTAATTCAATACTGAACATAGTTTATTAACTATGGGCAAATGTCACCAATAGATAAGGAAATGCAGGTGGGAAGGCAAAAGGAAAGAAAGGAGGGAGGAAAGAAAGAAAGAAGGAAAGACTTTTGACTTTTAAGATACGTTTATTTCGGGAAGGATGACAAATGGGGGGCAGTAAAGACCATATACAGGTTGGCCCAAAGGTCTGGGCCTCAAGAACAAGGCCTGGGCTCATGGCCTGCAAGGCCTGCCCAGACACTCTAGACAAAAATCAAAACACAAAGGACAAAAGAAGTATGTACATATATACAGTTCTGCCAGTGGGGACGCCCCGGGGGCCCTCAGGACATCAGGGGTCGACCCACATGGACAAAGCCCAAGGAAAGAAGGACCAGCTGATCACCTGCATTTGTAGTTCTGCATCTGTCTGTAGCATTTTGGTCTTGGCTTGAGCATCAAAGATGAAAGGGTAAGAACAGAGTGTCACAGGATCCTGGAAGGAAGGAAGGAAGGTCTCTGTTGATATTTGCAACTTTTACAAGCACTTGGTAAAGGGAAGGGTGATTAAAAATAATTACCTGCATGATAGATGGCCTTACTTTCTGTGGACAGAAAAGGAAAAAAGGATTCATTATTTTAGTCCCATGTCTTGTTTTCTTTAGTTCATAAGAGACAAAAGAAAAACATCATCTCCTCAAGGGTTAAAAAACCAGTATTTTCTCTTGAAGAGATGCAGACTGAATTTTAATTAATTTAAAGGTCTAATCAAGATCTAAATGCCCATAAAACTCCACTTAAAACTCTTAAAATAAGGCATAAATTGCATACAGATCTTCTGCCAGCCTGCTGCATAATAGGGGATTTTACCTCCAAGAAATCGATGAAAACCCATCATTGGCTTCTCAATATCCAGCTCCAGTAAGAAGGATTAGAATCTCAAACAACTGGATACTGTTTAAATGTTGCCTAAATGGTGTATTTAAGGTCAGACCATTCAAAAACATTGATTTCTTTAATAGATATTTCTGTAAATTGATTTGCTTTTATTATTACAGTTACTGATGCAATTCTACCTCATAACCTTGGCCAAATCAAATCTGCAGCATTGTTAAAGGGAGTGTCACAATCTACACAGTGCACTGGAAGATTCAGAAAGTCCATTGAAATCAAAACAAGTTTTGACTGCAGTCACTTTAATAAACGCAACCTCCCCTGCCATTATTCTTCTCATACATTCAAGATGTTGCCTCATTATCTTATTATGCTGCTAAATTATGTGGCTCCTACACACTAATACCCAGCCATAGATCCCAAGGATCTTTACAGAAAAGGTATGTAAAATTATCTCCACTTTTGCAAACAGGAAAAGAGTGGTACAAAGACACGAAGGCTCTTGCCCAGTAGGGGTGCATCCACACATGCAGGCACATGTGCTTGCAGCAACTCAAAATAGGAGTGGCACAAATCTGAGCTGGGGATTTTTGCCTCAGTGCACATGCCTGGACATGCACTTTGGTGTGGGGCAGGTTGTGCCACTTGGAGCAAAATAACCCTGCGCAGCTCCTCCCGGATCTGCAGCCTATATCAAATTTTGAGCCCATGCTGCAAATATGCAGCATGGGGAACATTTTTTTTTCCCAGCGTGCCTCTTACCATGTCTCAAACAGCTTTGAGATGTGGCAA